GGAATCGAACCCGCGACACGTTGCACGACAGCCGGTTGCCCAGCCACCGCAACAACCGTGCAGAAATGTCATTGACTTTAAAAGATTCACTTTCAAATAGTAATATCCTAGTACCTGGACATCTCAGGCGTCTGATAAGATAACAGCACTATCAGTATGATTGACAGATCTTGTTGTATCATGCATATGTTACACTAAACATTTAAATGTCTTTGTCTCAATTCTAGCCATAAGAGTATAATATTTTATTAATTTGTATGATACTCTTCAATATTTTAGTGTGAAATAACTGAATAAGTTGAGTAAAATTCTATAAACAGGTATAAAAAACATTCTTATGTCTCCAACTAATAACCTTTTCTTTTTGATAGCTTCTATTCTCCCACTAATAATTAATTCTGCTAAGCCTTTCATTTACATTCAGTTCAATAAAGAATAGATGAATGGTTCCATCTAATTTCTTGTGCTGTCGTGGTGGCCCGGATGGCGTGATGGCGGGTTCGAAACCTATCAATGGCATGAACCAATGTGAGTTTTGCCGAGTTATATGTACTTTCTTAGACGAATCTTAGAAACTGGGAAATAGTACTGTCTTAGATGAATCTTAGAAATTCGGAAACAACAACCTGGGTTTGAACAAACATGGCGAGTAATGCTGGAAACCATGTAAAAAGAGGCCTTTGGTGAGCAGTGGCCACTTATAGGCTATATTGACGATGATGATAATCTAATGTCTCAGCCAGACTTCTATGAGTACTTTTATCTTGCATTAAAAGAATTTTGATTTTGATAAAAAAATGTACAGAGGTGCATCACATATGTTTTATGTAAATGAATTTTGATGGAATGTTTAATTCCACTTAGTATATAATATATATATTGCTAATTAGAATTACCAATTACAAAATGGATCCCTAAACTATTTAGATATAGTTAATTAATTAAACACATTAATCATTCTAATTGTCCATTATCCTTTTCCTCTTTATAATTGGTGTCAATGACAAACTTAGTATGTCCATTTATTTTCATAAACCGCCTGTCTCATAAACAGCCTCTCTTATAAACCAAAGGTGTAAAAACTTTTCATTTGGTGCTAATATTATTGAGACCGGATGTTAACCTATGAACAATGTAAATTTATCTTTGCTATTAATTTGTGGCATTTAAATAAAACCGATATTAGTCAATATAATTATGAAGGATGATAAGCTTACTACGGTTAAATACATACATGATTCATAGTTATTAACTTACTTTATCAAGGTACCCCTTGCCGGTGGGGTCGGACAGGTCCCATATCTTGCTAAGTACCACATCGCTGAGCCGGGACTTTTTGAGAAAACGAGCTGCATCCAATGCTTGGATTGTGCCGGCTCCATTGGGGTCCACCTGCAATATTAATAAAGTATCATAATAATCACAACACATATTATGTCATATTTCCTAGTAATGTGTAGCCCAGTTGCCATATTATGCAACTTGAATGGGACAACTGGACCAGTGTGGTACCATCCTGTCATAATACCAGCATGAAGTAACTACACAAAGTTGCCATGTTTTGTTTGATAATGAATAAACATGTAAGAAACTAATTGGTTTTATAACTGGTTAATATTGGCTATGGTGGCCGCTTACCATCATAATTATGTAACTCAAGCATTGTTGAAACTAATTGTAGTATAAAAACAAATCCTACCAGTTTCGTAAGTAAAATTTAATACCATTAACTCGTCGAGTACCATCATTATAGACACAATTATAGAACAATAGGTTACGGTCACCGGTGACCGCTTGGTGTTTGACAGTTTAATAACCAAGTAAATCTTACAAATTATCACAATGCAGGTTTTGAATAAAGTTTCCAAAGAACATCAGTTATCATATTTCATGTTAGATAGGTACTAACATTTTCTAGACATTTGTGTAAGCTTAATAATATTGTACAACCAGGTGGCAAGCTGCCAAACCATTGCAAGTGCTTGTGAATAAATCTTTAGCATATCACTGAAATATTTAGCTTTTACCATAAAAAGATTAGATGAATATTTGAATAATTGAACCCAATTAGAATCAAGTACAATATTATATTGATAATGATATTATTAGTATGTTATGATAAGTGTAAAAGACCTCCAATCATTGAAATAGAAATAACAACATTTTCATAATTTTTATAATATCATACCCAACTATTGTATGCCCAATGGGCAGGACACAGCTGAGCTCAACCAAATTATGATAACAACTGTATTGTGTACCTACAATTAAATTAAATGGACAATAAATAAGTGTATAGTCTAAACTGCCCATGAATACTATACATATATGAAAATAGAATATTATATGTAGGTATTTGTTAGTCTATAACTTTAATTTCAACTACAATTTACAAGATTTGATTCCTTAGTAAGTTAGTGTCTGGCTAAACGTAATTAGGCCTTTTCCAGATTAAAAAAATGTCAATAAATAATTGTGCCCAGAAAGAGGTATATCATATCATATCTATTAAAAAGTTTGTGAATTTTGCTGATATCATATTTTGGTAGCTCAGGACATGGTGAAAGAAATTTCAAGGTCATTCATCTAAAACCACCAAATAATCATGTGTTAGTCTTTCTTATACTAAATAGTACTGAATCTTGATGGAGAATTTTAATATTTGTTAACAGAATGTTCATGCATTTAGCAACAAATATTGATTTAACACAAAATTTATCATTTTGAAAGAGACTAAGCAGCTTATCATCTTTTGCTATTCCAGTTTGAAGTAACTGTTATTTAAGACTAAAGATTTAGAACAGAAAACAATGATGACAATGATTAAATAGAAGAGAACTATCTTATTTAGCTGTCTCCAGGATTCATCAAGTAATAAAAACATTTTACCAATATACAACCACCCATAGTAAAAGAACAAGCAAAATTATTGATTGCAATTACTCACAACCCAAATCTAACTATAGTCTTTACGCTCTAAGAAATAAGAGTTACTTTCCATTCAATACTTTGATTTGTCCCATTAGACATTGGCCTAGAACTTCACTTTACTGAACAATTTAAATTATAAGCAGTATATAAACAATATTATCTAAGTGTTAATGTTCGTAATCATGCAATAATTGTATTGAAACATAGTAATTAAGTTAATTATTTAAATTAACAAGTGGAAACAGTGTTTAGTACTTACCTGATGATAATATGCTTCGTATATAGCGCTGTGGGTCCCAGCCACCTGCAACCGTTCAAACCTCATTTTCATAACGTAATATCACTACAAAATAATGAGTTAGAACCTTATTTTGAACGGCTATGGGTGTGACATTTCAATACTCCTCGCGACGTTTCCAACTTTCGCGAAACGGATACGATTACGTGGTCTTATAACACAATACATCCAAAAAATTGACAGGAAACACTAATTACAAACTTTACTTAGCAATTTGAAAACAACTACTGTGTAGAACAGATAGATAAACTAAAGATATTCTATAATTTTTGAGCAGCGTAATCCGTTCACGGTACACTAAACTTTAACTTCAGATATTTCTATGTTTTCACATTAGATGTAAAATTTGCACTGCACCAAATTATAGTCACATTAATAAACTGTTCTTTAAAATGTTATACTATATCATTTTAGCCATAAGTACTACTCAAATCACAAATAATTCTACCTGAGTAGGAGAAGGCAAGGCAGCCATTTTTTACATCTCCTCGTCGACCAATCAATAAGCGGCCATAGACTAAAGAAATTTTGACATAAGCGGTGCCAATGATGGGAAATGTCTAAAAAGTGGTCTAGAAAGTTTAAAATGTAACCTTATTTGTCTATGGATAAAATCACAACACGACTCTGATTGTAGATTTCCAATACTAGTAGGTAGGTACGATTAAAACCAATTTCATGAGAATGTACTTAATATCACTTTCAACATTCGGTAAATTACGTTTAAAACTACAATTGCGCATTCGAATGATGACTTTGAAATAGGTACTTAGGTCTGTACTAAAAATACACAAAAAAAACCGACTTCAAAAAAACCAAAAACTAATAACAAACAAAAAGTCAAAACTAAAAAGCAAAAAATAACTATGATTAGTACTGATAGATTACCCACCCACTTATAGGTAAGAAGTCGGTGCCATAAGTTCCATACAAAATTATTCATTAAAACCTTAATAGGTACCTAATTCACATTTATGTGGACATTAAGTTATATCATTATGATATGATCTTATGGCACCGACTTCTAACCTATCAGTGGGTGGGTAATCTATCAGTACTAATCATAGTTATTTTTTGCTTTTTAGTTTTGACTTTTTGTTTGTTATTAGTTTTTGGTTTTTTTGAAGTCGGTTTTTTAAACGCAGTTTTTATTTTATTATTTTATCATTTTCAGTGTAAAGCTACATATACCCGTTTTGTTACTTATAATCTACATAGGTGCAAAGTTCTAATCAATACAAATTAATCAAGCCCAAACACAAGGTAGTTACTGTATACCGTTAAGGAGTTCCTTTAACAATTACACTTCTTCATCATCAGATCCTTAATGACAGCCCTACTCTATTTAGGTGTAAAGTCCTCATCAATCCAAATTAATCAAGCCCAAACTCAAGGTAGTTAATATAAACCGCTGAGGAGTTCCCTCGACTGCCTGTCGGCTCCATCATCAGGTCAACTCCAGACCCTTATCAAATTGTAGTGTTTCAAAATCCTAATTGAAAAACATAATAGACGCATTACTCGCCCATAGAATTTTCGAAAGTTCCCCTCGGTTTCCCTAGGATCCCATCATCAGATCCTGACCTCATGGAAATGGGACCATCTCGGGAGTATACCCTTTCAAACAAAACAAGAATTTTGGAAATCGGTTCACAAATGGCGGAGTACTGCGCGAACAAACAAAAAAAAAAAAAAAAAAAAACAATCAGCCGAACATAGTACCTCCTCCTTTTTTTGAAGTCGGTAAAAATAAAACACTTCATTTGCTTTCATTCATTTATTTCTACGAAACAACTGCCAGCACAACATCATCAATTCACTTGTGTATTACTAGTTTTTACAGCATCTACAAAGACTTGTAAGCGTTTTAAACCTCGCGTATTTATTTCAAAACAAGGAAGATTTCTTAATTCCCTCATCCACTCCTTCAAACGTTGGTGTCGTTCCAGGAGAGGAATCAGTATTTCAAGAGAACTTATGGTCGTCCCGCAACAAATGTCACAAAGGCGTATCTGTAATATTACAAAAATGCGTAAATAATCTTGTTGAATGTTAATTTTATTCCCTATGTCAAAGAATCCAATGAAGTTAGAAAAATCGAATAGCTAAATCTCACCTTATCTCCAGTAAGCCACTTCTGTTTCTCTAAAACGAGCTCGCAATGGTCCAAAGCGAAATACCACTTATTAATCAATACTTCGTTAGCTGGCCATTTACCGGCAAAAAAGTCGCTCTGAAAACATCATTTATGTTTTAGGTATTACATAATTTATTTATTCAATAGACTTGCTTGACGTGATCTCTGACTCTGAATACAAAACATTTAAACAATAAAATTAACAGCTTTCTTACAAATATAGCACTATCAATTGGAAACAGTATGCCGGCATCAAAGTAAAGCCATTCATCTATTTTGGCTTTAAGAATGATATCATCAGGGTACAGCTCTTTGTTGTAACTCTTTCTGCAGAAATACACAGCTATGGCATGACTGTCGCATATATTTTGCCCGTTTACAGAAAGACTTGGCACCTTCTGAAAGGGGTTTATCTGTAAAAGAAAAACAAAAGCAGACATCAAAACTAAATCTCTACAAAGAGAACGTACAAAGTGATCGTCTCACTCAGTCCAGTAGAAACAAATGATGTGATACCTTTTTATAGAATTCAGTTCGATTCTCTCCTTGGAAAAGGTCGATTTTTTGGAATTCAACCTCAACGTTCGCTAAAGATGCTGTCATCATGGCAAACCTTACTGGCGGTGAAGCTTCATCTCCGTACAGGATCGGCTTCACTGCTTTCTCCATTGTATGGCTATTTAAAAATATAATTCAAAGTTTATACAATGTAGTAACATACACTACCTAAAGTATACTAAGTCTGTCCTATTTGGTACGTCGCGTCATCGGAAGTGTAATCAGTCGGAGATTACAGATGTTCGTTAGTTAAGTGCAGTATGTTTTTTACCGACTTCAAAAAAAGGAGAAGGTACTATGTTCGGCTGATTGTTTTTTTTTATTGTTTGTTCGCGCAGCACTCCGCCATTTATGAACCGATTTTGAAAATTCTTGTTTTTGAAAGGGTATACTCCCGAGATGGTCCCATTTCCATGAGGTCAGGATCTGATGATAGGATCCTAGGCAAACCGAGGGGAACTTTCGAAAATTCTATGGGCGAGTAATGCGTGTATTATGTTATTCAATAACGATTTTTAAACACTACAATTTGATAAGGGTCTGGAGTCGACCTGATGATGGAGCCGACAGACAGTCGAGGGAACTCCTCAGCGGTTTATATTAACTACCTTGTCTTTCGGCTTGATTAATTTGTATTCATGAGGACTTTACACCTAGATAGAGTGGGGCTGTCATTAAGGGTCTGATGATGAAGAAGTGTAATTGTTAAGGGAACTCCTCATCGCTATTCTACTGTAACTACCTTGTGTTTGGGCTTGTATAATTTGTATTGATTAGAACTTTGCACCTATGTAGATTATAAGTAACAAAACGGGTATATGTAGCTTTACAATGAAAATGATAAAATAATAAAATAAAAACTGCGTTTAAAAAACCGACTTCAAAAAACCAAAAACTAATAACAAACAAAAAGTCAAAAAATAACTATTATTAGTACTGATAGGTTACCTACCCACTGATAGGTTAAAAGTCGGTGCCATATAATAATAATTATTTTTTGCTTTTTAGTTTTGACTTTTTGTTTGTTATTAGTTTTTGGTTTTTTGAAGTCGGTTTTTTAATTATAAGGACATTATTACATATTAGTATTACCTACATAGTATAACCTGAGATCCCTTCGAGAACTACACGTACGATTAACATTACATCCCGTTTTTTATTCCACGATAGGATTGACAGTAGTTACTTGATTAGACAATCGCATAGAAATATTTTCTCACCTGAGTGCACGTTTTTTAAAGAGACACAAAACTTGATAACTGTTTAAATATTTGCCTCGAGAGATATACATTTATAACGCCGTTTATAATTTTACTCCAAGAAACCACTGGCCAGAAAGGATCCCACTAAGGTTATGACGAAAAGGAATAATGTACATAACTATTTACACTTGTAAATTAGTCTGAATTTACAAAGTCACACTCTACCGGTATGTATAACGTTTAGGATTCTGTTACCTGTTAGCTCCTACATTATGCATGACAAGACCCCTGGCTCAGATAATGTCTCACATTCGTATCTCAAAATAATATTGTTCTATCTAAAAATATGTTCTTTTACAAATATCACCCTGACGGTTCCAACACCATGAATATAAAATGATTTTTTTATTCAAGTGATTCTGTAGTCATTTTCATTATTATCGGAACTAATTCGGAAGTTTAATCTTTGTTTAATTATAGAGCACAGAGATCCCTATAAACACTGTTGCTGATAAAACCTGCTAAACATAAGAACCTTCTTTGAATCTGATTACTAAGTTTTTTTTAAAACAAATACACTGGCAGTTATAGTTGATAGACAATTTGATGAAAAACATTTTGCAATATCTATAAAATATAATACAAAAAATGCATACTTAATTAATTCAACACTCACTCTAAATTATAAAGTACCTAATTTTTAGTATATTCACATGGGGCTTTCAGCGAGTAAAAAGATTGCAACTGGCTTAAAGTAAGTCTTCTTTCTTTACCAACATATTTTAAACCTAAATCATTATGCAGGAATAACTCTAATGCCATGAGAATTGTATCTAAGTGCTCAGAACAAGTTATTTGTTAATCGTAAGACGAAGTAGCGGACAACGGGGAAACTGCTTAGTTGGCTACTGAATAACTGTTAGTTAGGGATATAGTCAGGATCCTCAAATCGGATTGTATAAACGTACCACAGTAATTTACGATAATTTTATCTTAATTACTATTGCAAAGTGTTTTATTTCGTGTTAGTAGCCTAGTGATAATTAACCTATACCTATGATCAACAAAACCAAAGGCACTGCACGTTATGGAAAGCAGACAGAAGTCCTGGGTGTCGAGCCGTAATGATGGCGCTAGACGCCATGAACTTGAGCATAACGGAAGTAGACATCAACATAGATAAAGGAGAACATAGAACACCAGAGATGCTTGCCGTAAGAAATTTTTCATACAGTACATTGTCTAAAAATACAAGGCAAACACTAACAAAACTTTCTTTCAGCTAAATCCATTACAAACATTACCAGTACTTAAGGACCGGGAGCTTGTGCTATGCGACAGGTATTTACTTTTTGTGGATTTTGTAACTAATAAGTAGTAATGACTGTAGGGTTGGCGTACCTAGTAGCAGAGCAGTGTGTGATCCACGAGTAGTTGTTTCTGGTCTGAGTGTGACGTGTATTTATGCGTATGCGAATTTGTATGTTTGTAAACGCACCTAAAAGACGGGAGAAAATCCTGGTGTGGAATTTATTGTAAAAGTGCTTTATTTAATTATTGCGTGTTATCTAACGAGTGCCTGGTTATCTGAAGCCTAGTCTATAGTGATGTTCCTGCCAGTCAGCAATTATAATTACTTATCTCTTTTATTTGCAGTCACGCTATTTGTGCGTACTTAGCTGGCCGATACTGTGACTCCGGCCGCCTGTTGCCGAAGGATCCTGGCGGCCGTTCCATAACAGACCAGCACATGCATTATAATAGTGGAGTTTTATATCCTCGATTCCGCGCAGCTGCTGTTAGTAGAATTTATATGTATACTATGTTTGTTTTTTCATTTAACAATTTATTAAATTATTTGTGCCTAACCACAGATCATTGACAAATTCCTTTTATTTTGCAGTATCCGATCCTATACGAAAATTGCAATTTTCTAATGCCACAACAAATACAAGACATCGAATGTGCTTATTGTGATTTGGAGTGCATGTTGGTTGGTAAAAGCTGGTTTGGTGGTAGTTGGGCAACTCTAAGTGACATTATCTTTGCGTCTACAATCAGCACCCTCAATATTTTGGTGCCTGTTGACAAATACAAGTGAGTAAAGTAAGCCCAAAATATACCTGTTTCAGTCCATAGCAACTCTGGGAGGAAATAATAAGCTATTGGCAATTTCAGATTTCCAAGACTCTCGGGGTGGTTATATCGCGTGTCAGAAGAATTATTTTACGTTACAGCCAATAGGAAAGGACTCTGCGAGTTTTCGAGAAGAATAGGCGAGTTATCACAAGTACAACAGTCATAAGTTTTTAAGTCAAGAACGTATTTTTACAAACATTATGTTTGTCAACATCAGATTGCGGCTGTGTTAAAGATGACAAAGAATTCAAGTGTCCAAGAACCTCCATGAGACGACGGACGCTAGCGGCCGATTCATAATAATACCTTGGGGCTTGCCAGAAGTTAAGGGCGGGTGCAGTTTGCCGAAAGTATTCTAATGGGCCTGTATCGCCGTTTCCTGAACTAAAGCAGGTAACAATCTCCTGATAAATGTACCTACTGTTCATTTCGTTTCGTTAATGAGTTAAAATTTAATTGTATTGTATAATTTGAAATGTAAATCGCATTAACTGTTTGTGAATTTATTACAACTTCCAGAAATAATACATTGAAGTTATCAAAAATCTACAATCCATTAGGTAGGTACATGCCCGTTAGACTACTTGCTATGACCTTGGCAAGTATCAAGGAATGTATTTATATTTCATGCTTATGCGAAATAAATGAGTGATAAGCCACAAAATCTTTTATTTTATCCGGCTGCCTGTACACCTGCCTATAAACATATAACACTTTTTCTCGAAAAGTAAATTATAACTTAAATTTTTAAATACATTATTTACTACCTAATTACAAATTATAATTTACTTTTCAAAAAATAGGTATGTTTTCCAGTTTTCTGATAATTATCAGAAAACTGAAAAATCCCGATAAGACAATAACACTTTGCAAGACTCGAGAATCGAACCCAAATCCCCTTCTACACCTTGCTTGGCACACTTGCAACTAAAGATACGACGATGGACAGGGCAGTCAGTACAACCATATAATATTGTACCTGTATTAACATAGTTCAGCATACAACAACAACATACTTACATGCCATATGTAATTTATGCAAATAAAACAAAATCCAAAAGTACATGGAAACTTGAGAGCCAACAATTTTCCACGTCTATTTATAGGCAACCTATTCACTCGAAACTTGAAAACCCAGATTGTACTTGTACCCTTATATAAACAGACTCTAGCAAGGATTTCCACTCCCTAACGATTCACACAAGGAAACTCGCAATGAACATCGAGTGGGCGGAGTCGTGCGATGATAAAACGGACTGGAAGGAACTTTTCACTTGTATTCGAAGCTTCGAAGTCACAATCGATTCATCATTGATGAGCATCTGTATACACAAATGGGTTTTTAACCTCTTGTCTGTCGATATATGAGACAATAGAAATCACATTGTGTCTCGCGTGGATCTACGTTCCGACACTTCACAGTTCACAGGATATTTCTGTTCTTGTAATATATAAATAGCAAGGATAAATAGCCTGTTTTTGTTTTCATAATTCATTAATAAATCGATTTCCGAATTATGTCTATGGCATTTACTTCTGTTTTATCACCAGCCCCTGCACTTGTGAGGAATTTATTTGTCCATGGCATATGGCTGTCAGTGAAATAGTGAATGTCAGTGATTGTTGTCATGTCATGCGTGTCTGTCATCTAAACTTGACTATTTTAATTTATTTGTTGTCAAGTGGAGGAGGGACTGAGTGAGGAGTGTTCAACGTAATTCATTATGTAGATTATCAAACATTACCGTCCATTGTTCGCACAGAGTTCACAGGGGAAACGATAAAAAGTTTATTGGGGATTCTCACGGAATCCGAAGAAAGTTGACGTGAAAGGCTTCTGCTGTATTATGAATGGTGGTGTCGTTCTAAGGCTGGTGTCATCACCATGGCGTTCGTGTCGTGCTAACATATAATAAAATATTATTACGATAGGCTAACGTAACTAGTGTTGTTTACTTGGACTTCTGTATTTAAAAAGTGTAAAACTTTGGAAAGTCTCGGCAACACTTTCTACCGTCATTACACATCAGCCGCACCAGCAATGGCTGGGTTCCAGACGAGTGACACCATGCCCAAGTTCGGCCACGTGACGGACTTACGAGAGCAATGGCTCGTACGTGCTGATGGGGCGCTGGCGCACCGTCTACAGGATCGAGAAATCTCGTCTCATCTGTGCGAAAATAGATATCGCAACCAGCAGATTCGTGAGGACTTCCCAATAGCCCTTAACGAACAACGAGACATAGAGCACGAAGTCCACCTGAGAGAACTTACTCGACGCCGACAGGCCGAAATTGATGCAGAAATAGCACGAGAGATGGCTGAAATTAATCTGCGCAGGCAACGCCGCCAGCGCTCCAGTGACATGTTACAACAACCCAGCTCGTCTCGCGCCGCTCCCCCGGCCCCGCTTCCTGTTACTACCGTTCCAAGTGAAGATATCAATCCAGAAGAGCTTGGTCTGTCTCCAACTGAACTTGAGGAAATGAGGCGACGACTGGAACAAGAAGAGAAGGATGCAAGACTCGCTAGGGAACTGAGCCATGAAGACAACAACCAAGATGCTCTATTGGCTGACATGAGATGTGCAGTAGAAGCTCAAGATGGTGAGTTGGCAAGATTGTTGCAAGAGAGAGAATACAAAAAACTTCAGAGAGCCAAGGAGAAGGCAAGACAGAAGGCTTTGTTAAAAAAACAGCAGAGAATGGCTGCCCAGCAACAAGGCCTAGCACCTCAGGTAGACAATGAAGCCACTTCTACTCCACAGGCTACACTGTGTGATGCTTACAGCAACCCTCGAGATATGATTTGTGAGAACCGACTCAGACTGTGCAAATCTGTTGACTCTGATTTGCATTATGTTGAACCATTTGAAAAAGAATCCATTCAATCTAAAGCCAGTGCCTTGCAATCCTTGGAGATGTCAAATCAGTATTACACTCGACAACCTGAAGCTGGAACTTCAGGCAGTAATTTGTCTCATTGTCACTCACAATCTATGGAAGATAAAAGGGTACCCAGTAATCAAAGTTCAATGCAACACCGACAGCCTCCCCCTCCACCAACAACAAGCAAGAAGCCTCGTTTCCCAGACCCAGTGAGCATCAGACCAGCCTCACACTACCCCGCTGAGCAGTCAGTGCCAGAAAGTATCCCTCCTTCCAACCTGGCTCACAGCTACAGTGAAAATAACAACCTGTACAGTTGTACGTACCCACCGGACATCAGCCCACCACACATGATACAGGAAAGACATGACAACAATAAACGGCTCTCTGTTATATCAGACATCACTGCTGAAGGTTTAGCCAAAAAGAAAAGTAAGCAAGCTGACATTAACAAGAAAAGAAAGGGATGCAAAATACAGTGAGTTTGTGATGGTGGTTTCAGGTAAACAAGTGAAAAGCCAAGTGAAAAGATGTGCAATTTAATAATTGAGCGAATGTTAATCGAGCAGAGTATATTGATGAAAAATGGTGTGATTTGAGTGGTAGCTGATCTTTTGTGTTCGTATTCGTACAGCTCAAATACCTTTTTATATAAAATATGTTAAGTTGTAGTTGTAGCGCAGTAAGTTACATTTTATTAACATTGTTTTTATATCTGATTTTGATTGATATTTTTTCTAAATACTTAAATAATTATTATTTATTATGACTTATATTTTAAGCTCTGCTATATCATTCATATTTAAGTCAAGTGTGGAAGTGACTCTCTGGACATTAAAAACTTATTTGTAGTAGGTACTTGACTCATTACAGATAATTTCAAATGAATGTGGCATTGGTTGTTACTGATAATCTAGATTACCAATAAATATTGTAACGCTCAATTGTCTCAAACAAAATTACAAGTATTACTTTTTTGTTTGTACATCAAAACAATCATAGTTATTGAATCAGTTAATTAAAAGGTAAGTGATATGATTCATCTAAGTCCACATACCAGTAGTATGAATCACAGGCACTTAAATGGGTATGATATCGCAGAGTAGGTGCAGTTGTCAGCTCATTAGTGGTGTATATTGCTGCCACTGAATTGCTGTCAACTATTTACTTGCAGTAGTACCTGCAGAAACCAATGAGCCATTTAAATCTAAGGTCAGTTTGTGCCTATGGGTGCTAATATAAAGAGGCAGGTTGCCATGGATGGGGTACTTCTGATTGGTACAGTGGCAACTTATACTAGCACCTATTTCTTTATAAATGAATGCATAAGATAAAATAGAAATGAATACCTGTTTCCTTATATTAGTACCCTTTGTCTAGATGTAAGTGCAGACATTCCAATATTTACTTTTATGTTTGAGTACTTATTTACTAAATAGTAATTAACCCTTTAACCGCCAAGATTCTGAACTTTCAACTTACCTCCAGCGCCACGTCACTTTAGGCATAAGTTGGAACAGTGTTGGGAACACTTAATATCGATGCATATATTCTTTATTAATTAAAATCAATGTTTTATTTACCTACTTAATAAATAATCTAAAAATTTTCAATCTTCAAACGAAGTATACGAAAATGTGTATTCGGGAAATGGGCACGGCGTCGTCCGTTCTCCTGCTGGCGACGGTGACGATGCTCCACGAATAATTTCATGTAAACATCTGAGCGGATTTCCGACAGTACGGTTCCAGCTCAAAAGGTTTTAAAGATGCAAAGTATTCATTTCGTGGATCACTTGGTCTCTGATCAAAAACTTTTGCGTCACCATCTTCTAACTTTGCATAATGGACACATTTGGTTTTGACTGTGTTGATTTATTTGAGAAATAACAAAACCCAAAAAAGGGGTTACAACACTAGTTGCATTGAGTGATAAATGTTTAACGTGATTTTACGGTGACGGCGCTAAGGCAACTCACAATACAGCGCTATAATCTCCTTGGCCGCACGTAATATTACGATGATGGCGACCGGCGATTGTCCGCACTAGTGCGGTTCTGCGTTATGAAATTTTTATATTATTGTTATAAATATTAAATAATTTTAAACTTAAATACATTTTAATTAGTACAAATACTTGCATCAAAGTAACACTATGGTTATTTTCTAATGAAAGTATACACTTTCATTGCAAATAGTGACAGTAATATCTATAGTGCCTTGTTTGTTCTTAGACAACCTAATAAGTATTTTTCGAATTCGCCCCATCCCTAGTACTCGTAAAATTACGTGATTGGCGATACAGATAATGGAGACGGTGACCACAATTTAATTAAACCTCAAATTTCACAGTATTTATCACTCAAAACATTGAGAAATATACATAACAATAAAGATTATACCCTATATCTTGAAATTGACACATTTTATATGGAGTTTGTGCACTATAAGAAGATTTTTAATAAAATAACGTGATTGTACGTATGTGGCGATTCGGACACAGCTTTCGAAAACCGTAATATTACGTTATCGGCGGTTAAAGGGTTAAGAAAATATGTATTTTAAACTGGTTTACTAACACAAGATTCAAGATGATCCATACTTCTAAAATCTCAGTAAAAAATGTATCTAAAAAATAAATAGGTACAAAATAATTAATTCCCTGGGTCCATGACTAATAAATAACTCAAGTAAAACAAAATAAGCAATTTTGATTATTTTGCAAAATTTTGAATTATTTTGATATAGAATTGTTAGAATGAATCATTTTCTAAGATTCTCGAATAAATCTCTTATTTCGTACTTAATCTCCGTATTTAAGACTGATTTTAAAATGACCAGTAATCACATAATGTGGTGCCTGTTTGGTGCTTTTGAATAATTTCTTCTACCTATTATTTTAATTTTTCATAAATATTTTTTTATTAAGATGAGATTATTCGCAAATGCAAAAGAGTGTTAGAAAATAATTATAATAATTGCTTTCACAGTGACTTTCTCTAACACAAAGATGGGTATGCAAGTCACGGCGAGTCGCGAATGACATCACATTAGAATAAAGGTCATTCACACACTCGCATAACGTATTTACATGGATATTGGTGTTGAATAACATAGGAGATGTTCCATTCATCCATTTAAAAAAAACTTGCCGTTGGACAACATTATCGTTGTTGTGTAACCATTACAATATTCTAATTTCTAATTGGTGACTTGGCTAAATGTACACTACTACCTATTGCGCGCATTATTTTATTATTTGGCTTTCTTGAAAACATTGGTTTAGATAATAATGTTTTGTTTTCAAAATCTTTACTAATAAGATTGGAATCTCGTCTTATTTTTATAAAGACAAGTATTGTTTGTTGATACAATGTGTACTATTGTATTACGTAATTTCTACTGGAACGTAAAGAATCTCCGTTGAATTAAGACGTTGTAGGTCGTGCGTGTATCGTTCAATTATAAAAAAAATATGACTAATAAGATATAACTTATAAGCAATAATATTACATTTGTTGATGATGGATCCTGATATTAAGGATACTTTGTAATACAGAATAACGACAAAGAAATACTATATCTATTATAGCATTACAACCAGCCGGTCACAAGTTTAGAAACTCATTTGTTTATTTATAAGCTAAGTATAATATTTAGTGTTATAATTAACGATTACGTACTTAATTAAGAATAAGCTTTAATCGCAATGTATGGCCTTGATCGTGCCTTAGTAGTGGAACTGAACCAAACTCTAATATTTATAAACTGTACTTTAATGTTATTTTTAATTTACTAAACATAATAATAGTCTATAGTTATACCTACTTATGGCTGATTCTTTAAAGTTGCTCAAGTGTGAAGTGAAGCAAAGACGTAAGTCGCAATGCTTCACCTCGTAATTAAAATTAGTAAATGTCTGATGCGTCGGTACCTACCTTTAACATGAACAAACTTATCTGCACTGTATCCGAATACAAATAAAACGTATGGTAAAATCTTACTGTTGTATTAATAAATTAGAAACACCTAGCTACGTATCTCCTTGCTCTATTTCCTTGATATTGATGTCAATACTTAAATTGACTTATGTACTTGAAGGCAACATGTTTTCATTTAAAAGATCTATGTGCTAATACCCGATATTATTTAGAAATTAGAAACGAATACATATTTAGGATTTGTGTCAATATATGAGTATATGACCTATAATTAGTTGTATACTAGTTTCTGTCAGTGGCGTTGTCCGCATTTCTGAGATTAATATTACCCCGTGTGTTAATCCCCAGTAGACTATTATAATAATCTACCAGCTATCTCTGTAACTTTCATCAAAATCCGTCTAGTAGGTAGTTTTCGTGAAAGAATAATAAACATACGTAGAAGTAGATAGCAGGATTTAAATTTTTATCTGTTTATTGGTCGTTGTTTTCGTAACAGGATATGGTGGTGTTATTCAGCTAACCCGAGTATGTATGATGAATTGATGACAGTGGGCGGATGAGACGCTCGTTATGAATGCATTTTATGTGCTTATCTGTGTTGAACTGTTGATACGTCGCGTCGGTACCTACCTATCGGTGCCTATACAGGACCTACTTTGGTTTTACGTTTTGAAGCCCTTCAATCCGTAACCGCTAACTTCCTGTGTCCTTTTTTTTAATCGAACAACGGTACGCCCATTACCTATTCCATGAATGAAATTAGATATAAAATTAAAAATTGTTTTAAAATCCTTGTACTATATTTCTGATGGTGATTGCAGTTCTTCTGGGGTCGCAGTCAACCTACTAAGCCTACATATTATGTGGTAGCAACTTGATCCTGACAACCTTTCACACTAAAATAATAGTTCTGTAGTTCCTAGTAGGCTTACGGAATGCAAAATTCAGCGGATCTAACCAATCAATCAAAGAGGCTAGACTTGGCTTTATTTAAAAGGGTACCTATTCAGCAGGCTACTAGTTGAATGGGTACTTAATATAGATGGTGGACAATGATGAATAAACTGTATACCTATTGCGTGTTAATGCCTATGCTAACTAATTGCATACCTACTACTAATAATTTACGTACAATACAAGTCTGGCACCAAAAATGGCTGCAAAAACAACTGTAACTATAGTGATTTGCACTTGTGTCACATAAATACATAATCACATTATTTCACCACATAGAGTACGTACCTAGGTAGGCGGGGCACAGTATAATTAAATACTTACTAACAGTAACTACCTATTACTGTGGTTTAATAAAGAATGTACAACCAGAGATATCTTAGACTAAGTACGCTGGGCCCCTTTTGCATATTTTTTTTAACGTTGCTCTACGCTAGGGTTTTCTCCTGTATCGTGGTTGCATTTACAAACATACAAGTTCACATATGAATGTCCGTCGTAGAATTTGTCGGTCCTTCGGGGGCCCTGGGTACGGGCCCCGAGTGCCCTTATGGTAAAGACGGTATTGGGTACAACTACAAATCTACATACCTTGGTCCGTTTTTTATGCAGGCTGTTCCAGGTTAGCCGCGGTAGACTTAACGGGCATAACGGGTTGCCGGGGCTCCGGCTCGAAGAGCAGGAGTAGGAACGGGGTGGTTTTTAGTTAGTAAGAGTCTGACACTCCCTCTCGCCTCACGGCGGGAGAAGTCATTGGATGATTTTCCCCCCTCGAAAAAAAAAATAGGCTGTTCCAGGTAGGTAACTTGTACCTACAGCTGCGTTTATCAGCGGTCTGTGGCTAGGTACCTACCTAGTTATGGAGACTAAAGTGCCTAATGATTACACAACAATCGATTGAGCCTGTCGTATTTTCCTCAATATTTTTGAAGTTTTCAAAAAAATTTTTTGAATCCAGTTATCCAATAGTCTATCTAGTTATGAATTAATAATTTTATTGTTTTGTCGCTATGGTCTTTGTTCTGTTTACACGATTCAAAACTAATTAATAAAGCAGCTAGGTAACTATGCTTAATAATCCTACTACTTAAGAATGTGATCGCTAAATAAATCTTCAGCTTCCTTAATCTACATAATGTCAGGGCTCAGGGGACGGTACTGTGTGTGCACATATTTATTTCCGAAGCGGGCATTTAGAGGCCGGCTCAAGGTCACTGGCCGACAGGTGCTCACACAATAATATTCGTTGATACTTGATATTATGTATTTATTCCAAACATGGTGTCCTGCCGCAGCACCGCCGAGGCCGTTCCACAAATTATTTGCCAAGTTAAATATTAGGTATTTTATACCTGGGTACTTTATAGGTTTTAGTTTTGATCATAGGTAGGTATTTAGTTTAGTTAGGTATGACATAAGTACTATGGTTTAAATTTAAATGCGTGTAAATGTGGTATATCACGAGATTTGTAGATGTTATAGGTAGGTAGTAGCCGTACCTGCTGATTTGGATTTAAGTTATATTTGCCACACAATGCTACTGATTGATTAGTTTTGTATGAGCTCCAGCCGTGTTTTAATACAAGTCATACTACCTACCTACTATAATTTAAATTGGAGATGCTTTATTAGGTACCTATTACCTAGTTACCTATAGCAGCCAGAAGACGTTCAGTAAGTACTAGACCAAGCCCTCCCTCTTAACCTCCAGGTTGAACCGCGAATAGGCGTAGGTAAATAATCTTAGCATTCTTAGCACAACTTATTGGTATATACTTACCTATAGGAAAAAGTAAAATTATTTGAAAATTAAGGCACTCAATAGATTTATAAAATGCTTTTCGAATAGCATTTTTTTTATTTATTGACCGACTTGAAAATGAGAGTTAGACCTGGGTAGCAATTGTCCCGTGAATGGCTGAATCGATTTTGTGATGAGGTATTCAAGTTCCCTCAGACAGAGGTTCGCTATAGGCAAGTTGTATTTTGTTCTAATAGCTCGTTTCTGAATAATGCGTAATAAAAAATATAAACCGCTGTTAATTCTCAGCAAAATGTTAATGCTATAAAAATAACAATTACATATTTAAATAAAATGTGCATGAGTGTCGTTACTCGTTCGTTATCAATGTCGAGACTACATGCCGTGGTAGTGGTACACAATACACATTTTGTATTGTTTGGTTGGCAAAACTAGCAACCGTTTCCGCTCTTAAAAAGGTTCCCAACTAAGGGAGTTTTTCCCAAGTAGAGGGTAAATTAACCTAATGATATTTTCAAAGAATAGTATTTTGGAAATTTTAAGACAGTTATAAAACTAAAAAAAGCTTAATCAACATTTATAGTTGAAAATTATGATAATTCTTGCATTTAAAACTTATTTGTGTTAAGGTTATACATTAATTTTAGGATTTTGTATTTTGGGAAATGGTAATACTGAGAATCCATAGATTCTGAATGTTGTTTGTATCATCGTTTTTCGTCTTTATTTTATTTTCTATTCTATGGCTGCTGTTGTTCCTCACTTGCAGTGTTATTTTTAACATTTGCTTATTTTCATAGAAGATTGTATTGTTATTTATAATTACAATCACAACAATACATTTAATTACCTTGGTGAGTGTGGTAATTATCATTTTATGTATTAAATATTTATTCTAAACTAAATAATTATGGTCGCCATTTTTTACTCTGGGATATACATTTATTAATGTAATGAATATATATAGTACTTAATATGTAACATAAATATAATGAAATAATATTATGTTTTACTTTACCTCACAGCTATTGCTAGAAAGAAATCGTGTTCTAAGTTATATTTTCGTGTTTTGAAGGTTTTATTATTAGGGACCTACATATCCTCATGGTCATACTTACTGCTCGGATTTAAACGAAGATGTATTCAAGTTATATGAATTAAAAAAAAAAATACGCGCTATCCTCAATCATTATGAAACATGAATCTTAATTTCGCAATCCTAGAGAGTGGAAGGTAAAATGGCTACCGATAGCGACCCGACGCCGACTTTTCGGGATACCGTATATATTTAAAATTAATAGTTAAATATAATTATAACAAGCAATTGTAATCCGTTCTGTTGAGAAATACCTTTAAATTATAAGGATATTTCTCATGCTATAGCGGCATTGAAAATTATAAAAGAGGTGAGGGTATCTGGATCTGCTGTACAATTACTTCATTAGATATACCTACCTAGTTGATTGTTCATAATTGAAAACTGAATGGTGAAAACACTAACTAATATTTTGAATTACCTATTGTTTAGACATGTCCGAATCTGGAGGAAGAGGAAGGGCGCGTGGTCGGGCCGGCAGAGGCGGTGATCATGCCGGTCCACCTCCGCGCAGACCTGGCGAACCACCGAGACCTGGTACCCAACAACCGAGACCTGGTACCCAACAACCAGTCCCTACAGGTCCTCGCCCACAGCCCCCTACACCATGGGGTCCTCCTACCGCGCAAGCAGGCAGAGCTTCGCACAGATCAACTCCGTCTACTCATCAAGAGCATCCTGGTGATGTAGACGTGCAGCAGAGAATGCAAGCGATGCAGATTGGTAATTAATTTTAATATTATCAACTCATTACGAATAGGTAAAACAGGTAGGTACTGTAACAAAGCATTTCAGGTCTCATTTTAACATATATTTCAGGGTTTCCTATTCACCAAACTGTAGGTAATGGAAAGGGTAATATAATAATTACTGATGAAAATTTAAGTCAGCACATTGTAATGGTACAAATAATGACACATTGTATTGTGCTGAATATGGTAGAAATAAAGGTTTTATATGATGTCAGCACTATAACTCCAAGAAGTTTAAAATAAATCAGCATATTTATATAAAGTAAATAATTGACACAAAACTTGGATGTATCACGAGGTATGCTCAACTCTTTGTTATATTTTAGCTTCAACATCGCAACCAACTGCTGCTGGCGAACCAGGCGCCGGGGTAATCGGGCGTGGCTCACGTCGTGGTGGTGGCAGGGTGCTGCCAGAGCAAACGATGATTTTGCGTACACGCCCCAGTGTCATAGAATCTAAAAAGGGTAATACATTTTTTTAGTTATTACTTTATCAAGATTTAACACAAGGAATGTCCTATAAGTTTTAATTTTAATTGATATTTCTATCATTAGGTACTTCTGGCACTGTCATTGACCTAAGGAGCAATTATTTTTTGGTGAAAACTACGCCACAATGGCGTCTTTACCAGTATCATGTTGATTTTTCACCGGACGAGGACAGTACCTTCATCCGTAGGGCACTTTTGCGTGTACATGCTAAAACTCTGGGCGGGTAAGTGATTTTTATTTTAAGTTTCACTCTGAACTGTTAATCCTAAAGAAACTATACATGTTTGGCAAGATTAACCTCAAGCTTTGCTCTCTCATTTTGTATTTAGAACCACCCTTCAGTAGACCAGCTAATTCTTTTAAATCTGTACTGTCTTCATACTTAATAGATTTTTTGATTTTACAGTTATTTGTTTGATGGGTCTGTGTTGTACACAGTTAAGAGATTACACCCTGAGCCCCTAATGTTGTACTCTGACAGGAAGACAGATGACCAAAGGATGACAATGTCGATAAAGGTAAGAATTTGACAAGTATGTATAATGGAAAAGAATGAAAGATAAACCTTGTTGCTATTTCTTCACAAAGCAATATTTTTATCTTTTAAGATTTTGCCCCATACATTTTTGGGCATTATCATAGCTTTTTGTTACTTTATGAGTTCAACATGTAAGAACACAAGACAATAGATAATGAACAATTTAATTGCAGCTCACATGTGATGTCAGCCCTGGAGACTACCATTACATTCAGATATTCAATATCATTATCAGAAAATGCTTCCAAATATTGGATCTGCAATTGATGGGCAGAGATTATTTCGACTCTGAGGCAAAGGTAAAGTTTATATTAAAGTTTAGGAATTAATAATTGAAGAAATTTTATTATAATTGAATCAATTAATACATTGTGTATTTTACTACAGGTTGACATTCCTGAATATCGTTTACAAGTGTGGCCTGGATATAAAACAACTATCAATCAGTATGAAGACCGTCTGTTAATGGTTACTGAAATTACTCACAAAGTAAGTATCATTAGACAACTTTTTGAAACTTCCTTCTATTTATATAAGTTATCTAATTTTGATTGAACTATCCTTATAGGTTCTTCGACTAGATACCGTGCTTCAAATGTTAAGTGATTATGCTGCAAGTAAAGGAGGAAATTATAAAAAGATATTTTTAGAAGATATTGTCGGGAAGATAGTTATGACCGTATACAATAAGAAGACATACAGAGTAGACGATGTTTCGTGGCAAGTGTCGCCAAAGTCTACATTCAAAATGAGAGATGAGACCATTACTTACATGGATTATTATAAAAAGGTAGTTGTAATTTATTATTAAAATATCATCTTCATAATTACAGGTGATAATTATGCAATTCATAAATGTGTTTTTCATATTTCCAGAAATACAAGATCACTATTCACGATACTGCCCAGCCTTTGTTAATCTCTCGATCCAAGCCACGTGATATCCGTGCTGGAATGCCTGAATTAGTATATTTAGTACCAGAGCTATGCCGTCAGACAGGTCTAACGGATGAAATGCGTTCCAACTTCAAACTGATGAAGGCTCTGGATGCTCACACTAAGATTGGCCCAGATGTTCGCATACAAAAGCTGATGGCATTCAACCAAAGACTGACAAGAAATCCTGAAGTGGTTAAGGTGTGTGATACATATTTTTGAACATTTTACTTTGTGGCCTAATTTGTTAAGGCATTGTTTGATACTAAAACATTGTGCTTTATAGGAAATGGGTGATTGGGCCCTTACTTTATCAAACGAACTGATCAAGATCAAAGGTCGTCAACTGCCACCAGAAAACATTATTCAAGGCAATAACAGTCGTTACCCAGCTGGAGACACTACTGAGGGGTGGACCCGGGATATGCGGTAAATCCTTCATCTTTCATGATTTTAATAGTTTAACAATAACATTTTTTTCATGTGTTTTTTTACGTATGTCAGATCGAAGCCCCTGTTGGAAATTGCTCAACTGCCGTCATGGGTGGTAATAACTCCAGAGAGGCAGCGCCGTGACGCTGAAGGCTTTGTAGACTTGATTATGAAGACAGGTGGAGGTGTAGGTTTCCGTATGCCTCGACCAGAAGTAGGTAAGTACTAGTGTTTTATATAGTGTGGCAAGAGAGCATATGGACCACCTGATGATAAGCAATTCGCGACACCACTGGACACCCGCAATAGCACCTGAGACGGCCCATTTGTGACTAAGGGCATATAGCATAGTTCTCTCATGAAAAAAAAAACAAACAGTACAATTAATGTATTAAAAACTTTGTTGAATAATATTGCTTTAAATTTTTTTTAGTTACTATCCGGAATGATAGTCCCATTGAATACGCAAACGCCTGCGAGAACTCCATTGCGCGAAAAAATCCTGCAATGATCTTGGTTGTTCTAGCTCGAAAAGTTACTGATCGGTGAGTTCTTAAATTTTTTCAACATTTCTAGTAAACACATGTTGACAGTTGGTTCATGGTTAATACAGTATATTTGTGTGTTATGTTATGGAAGAGTTGCCAAGGGCACATCCAGCTTTGGTTACATAGTCTATAGGATAGCCCATTAACTATACAACACAAAAAAAAAATCAAATTGGACCAGTAGTTCCTGAGATTAGTGCCTTCAAACAAACAAACGCTTCAGCTTTATATTATATCTTATATACTTATAATAAGTCTGTAGAAAGGTCAATTCTGTAGTACAGAATCTGTACATGAAGTATATTTCCAAAATAAATTAGGGATTGATACTGATGCCAAAAATGAATTCAGTAAAATGTTTGATTGTCTGTCTGTCTGTCGTATGTATAACCGTTATTGAAACAATAATTACTCGACAGATTTTAACTCGAACTATTTCTTATTGTCAGCGTTTTGGGAGTGTTCCGTTTACACCCTGTATTACAAAAAAGCTATCTAAACATAGATGATAGTAAATTGAGAGTAGTTTAACCCATATATCCCCAAGCGGTCGCTGGTGACCGCTCTCCACTAACTACATTATAGACCTTATTTCCAATGTTTAGACTACTTTTGTATGAACAAATTTAGGGGATGATTTTCAACGGGTTGATTTTGTAGTCAACGTTTTTCTTCTAAAATGCACGAAAAACTAATGACCCCTTCCCCCCCTGGATCCGCCCTTTAGAGTTGCATGTATAACTGTTATTTATTTCCAGCTATGAGGCGATTAAGAAGAAGTGTACAGTGGACCGTGCTGTTCCAACGCAGGTTGTATGCGCACGAAACATGACAGCCAACTCGGCTATGTCTATTGCCACTAAAGTAGCTATCCAGATTAACTGCAAGGTAATTAATTAATTATTAAATTGTCACAATTTGTGTCTATAGACATACTTTGACTTCTAACTCCTTTTTTTTTTAATTTATAGCTTGGTGGTGCTCCATGGAGAGTAGACATACCTCTTCAAAGCATACTCGTTATAGGTTACGATGTATGCCACGACACACGATCCAAGGAGAAGAGTTTTGGCGGATTTGTTGCTTCATTGGATCGCTACTTGACGCGTTACTTTTCAGCAGTGAACTCTCATACCTCTGGAGAAGAATTGAGCTCTCACATGAGCTTTAATGTTGGCTCAGCCCTCAAGAAGTTCAGAGAGGTTAATGGTTAGTAAAATGTTATGAGCAAATCCTATATTATTTTTTTATACTCACATATTTTCAATTAAAACCAGTACCTGAGAAATGTATTTTTGACTATAGAAACTTAATATTTATTTCTAATTACTTGTAGGAGCATTGCCAAACAGGATTTTTATATATCGTGATGGCGTCGGTGATGGACAAATCCCTTATGTTCACTCTCATGAGGTAAGCTAATCATAGAATTTATCCCAAACTTGACCCTGTTGTAAGACTTGATAACATACTGATTCTGATTATTGAATTTATAGGTGGAAGAAATAAAAAAGAAGTTGGCTGAAGTATATGCTGGTGCAGAATATAAAATGGCGTTTACAATTGTATCGAAACGCATCAACACTCGCATCTTCTTGGATCGTGGACGTGGCGAGAACCCACGTCCCGGTACCGTCGTCGACGACGTAGTCACACAACCAGAGCGGTAAGAATACCAATAAAAAATGACCACACCTTTTAAAGTTGAACCACTCACTTGTAATTATATGGCTATGCTATGTGTTACTTGTCCCCAGCATCATTTTTTATAATCTCATTATCTGTAGAATGGTAATTGATATTAATTTCTTTGCAGCTACGATTTTTATTTGGTGTCACAAAACGTGCGCGAGGGAACTATTTCGCCCACTTCATACAATGTCATTCAAGATACCACGGGATTGCATCCCGACCGGGTAATTTTTTTTTATTTAGTTATTTGCAAACAAGATTTTTTTAACAAAATTAGCATCTGCCAAACTGCATAGCAGTGTTTTGGCAGTAAGTAGTTATTTAATCATCTCGATTATATGTTATATTTATTTTAAGTTCAAGGTGTTCTAACAATGAATAAATTTAAATTTTCAGATGCAATGGCTGACATATAAAATGACCCATCTATACTACAATTGTTCTTCGCAAGTACGCGTTCCCGCCGTGTGCCAGTATGCACACAAGCTCGCGTTCTTGGCGGCCAACAGCCTCCACAGCCAGCCCCATTATTCGCTAACTGACACATTATATTTCCTGTAAATTTAAATGTCTACTTTTCATTTTTTTTTTCTTTTTTTTTTGTGATTTATGTCAAAACGTCAAAATTGTTTTGAATATTTTCATAGTGCGTTTGTAGTAGGTTATAATAAGTATCAAGTAGTGTGTGATACTTACTACATATTAAATTAGCTCTAAGAAAATACGTGACTGTTTAGATTGTTAAGACTTTGCTGGGTTTGATATTGAATATTAGACCTACAACCTCTCGTCTGCGGTTTATTATGTCTCAATCTGATCTGCATTCCGGCAGACCAAGGGTTATAAAATACTCTTAAACTCAAAATCTCGATTTTGGTAAAAATATTATACCAACCTTATGAGTAGTATGTACTTTGTGTACCAAAATTAGTGAAGTAAGCTAGGTTTGATAAATACCTCCTTTTATTTTTTTACTAGCTTATAAGGTTTTTTTTATTTAGTATTAACATTAACAAATAGCCGCGTACTGACTGGCCTCCAAACGATCTCGCGAGGCAACCTCAGGCGATTAAACAAAAACTCCACAACCCTCTGCTCTATCCGCGGCATGCTCGTTCGAGGCATGTCCTGACTAGCCAAGCATTTGCCTCGCGAGGCTGCTCGGTCAGTGGGTACGCGACTAATGCTTTTTTCGTGACTATGACTACCTCCAACAAGTTATTGTGTAGACAGCAGCTAGTCATGTTTACCACCGATTGAGAAATGGTTGATTTTGATGAATGTTTACAATGGTGGTTGAACATGCTTGTGGTTCACAGATATTACCCACCTGTGACATTAATTACGTAATGTTCACATACCAAACTGTTCCTACAAACTAATTTGAAATGTTATTTTTTGTTAAGCATTTTTATAAGACTATAAATAGGCTAAAAACGCTGAATATTTAGAAACTGCCTGAGGCATTTCTCATTTTTTGGTAAAATGTTGCCATATGATTGCCATGGGCATATAAGTTTATTTTGAATACTTTAGATTAAGTGTTAACTTTTTTATTTCTAAAGTTTATATCGTCTCATGACATTCCGAATGAGTATTTTCTTAATTTTAGTCCTTCCTTGCACTGTCTTTTTTGACTTTCAAAGCTCAATTTAAAATAAACCCTGGTAGCTAACCAGGACAGTGACTAAGTATAAGTATTCTCCAGACTGCATGTCTGTTTTGATTTAACAAGTTATTTTACGTAAATTACGGTACTTTCAGACTTTAAATTGGTTCTTACGAAAATGTAAGTAATGACGAATTTGATTATTGCGCCATAATTTGGAACTACCAAATACCCTTTTTGTACTTATTACATTTTCTTACTAAATATAAACGTGTTTTATTTTTTAAACTAAGCTTATTATATCACTAAATAAGTAAACAATAGCGATTATTAGACATGATGATAAATAATAATTTTCTAATAATAACGTCCCACTAGGACTTTTTCCTGTTCAAAATTTGGCTGTTCCTAGGCTCGCAAATTTCGCCAGGGTCGTGCGGTCCATGGCCCTCTACGGCGCCCCTGTTTGGGCGCCAAACCTGTTGCGGCGTCCTGAGGGGACGGAGAGGGTCATGGCGATCCGAATGATCCGCGGATACCGCACGATCTCTGGGGAGTCTGCGAACCTCCTTGCCGGATTACCGCCGTGGGATCTGGAGGCGAAGGTGCTCGCGCGCGTGCACAGCATGCGCGCGGAGGCACGTCGCCGGGGTGAAACTCCGCTGCCGCGCCAGATAAGTGCGTGGCGGGATGAGCTCCGGCGCGATCTCATGGCGGAATGGCAGCAACGACTATCGCAACCGAGGGCTGGGCTCGCTGCCATCGCAGAGGTAAGTCCCCTCTTTGATGAGTGGCTTGAGAGACGCTACGGCGTCCTCACCTACCGCCTGACGCAGGTCCTCACCGGACATGGCAGTTTCGGGAGGTACCTGTGTCTGATGGGGCGGGAGGAAACGCCCGGGTGTCATCACTGCGAGGACCGCCCTGAGGACACGGTGGAACACACTGTAGCGGAATGCCCTGCGTAGGCTGAGCACCGCCGTGTCCTCAAGGAAGTGATCGGCGATGGCGACCTCTCGCTTCCGGGCCTAGTGCAGGCCATGATGCGAAGCGATGGGGATTGGGATGCCGTCTCCTCCTTTTGCGAAGCAGTCATGCTAGCTAAGGAGGAGGCGGGACGCGTGAGGCAGCGAAGCGCTGCCTCCTCGCAACCCAGCCATCGCGAAGGACACACCGGGCGTCGGGGATCGCGGGACGATCTCCGGCCACCGTAAGCGCGGGCCTGCGGACGGAGAGCATGGGTGGCTCCCCGTCCGACCAGAAACAGACCCGAGCGTACGGCGCGTCGCGTTCCGCGCGCGCCTCAAAGAGCCATCAGACCACCACAGATGGGGCCCAATAGGGCCGATGCCGATTCGGAGTCGCGGAGAACCTAACGGGTGACCGGGGCTCCAGCTCGACGTGCAGGAGAAGGAACGGGGTGGTTTTTAGTCAGTAAGAGTCTGACACTCCCTCCCGCCTTACCCAGGCGGGAGCAGTCATTCGAAAGGCTCGCAAATTTGAAAAATTTAATAACTGGGTTAGATAAGTGCCGTGATGGTGCTTGTATAATGTACCATGACAGCCGAGACTGCGTTTGGTGGCTCTATTGACCTTTGTGAAATGTATGCTTGGCTGCCAATATACTTGTAACTCGTGAAATAAAAACCAGAGAAAATTCCAAATTGACTAGTAAAACGGGGTGAATAGATACAGGAATGGGGTGAATAAATGTTAGAATATTTTCCCAACATTTATTCACCTGATCAAGATCGTTATTTTGAATAACGGTACCTACCTACTGATGCCAAAAAATGCAATCATTAAAATTTTAGTCTGTCTGCACAACCGTTATAGAAACAAAAACTATGTGTAAGTACGCGACGGATTTTAACGAAACTTTGTACAAATATTTTTCATACTCCTGAGCTGGTTATAGTATACTAGGTCTGGTACTTATCATGAACTACTTATTTCCGGGAACGCGCGGGAACCGCTCTGGCAGAAGAAAGTACCAAATCTATACTTTTAATAAATCTGTAGAGAGGTCAATTCTGTAAATGAAATTTATTTCCAAAATAACTATCAGGGAGGGTGGTCTGATTAGTGATCGATACTAATGCCAAAAATGCAATCAGTTAAATTTTTTGTCGTATCTGTCTGTATGTTCCTTATAGAAATAAAAACTACTAACTATAGAAATAAAAACTTGGTACAATTATTCTATATACTCCTGGGGAGATTATAGTATACTTTTCATCACGCTACAATCAATAGGAGCAGAGCAGTGAAGGAAAGTGTTGGGAAAACGGGAGAATAACTCCATTTTCTAAGCTTCCGTCGCGTGTGCAGGTTTAATAGTTAATAAAGCTACATAGAAACCATGTATGACGGAAATGTTCTACATAAAATTATCAAAATAATATCTCACAACAGCACACGTCTATCTAGGTATTATGGTTGACTCACAATAACATATGTAACTCCCGATAGTTTGCAGAGTTCGGAGCTTTCTGTTTATATTTGTTTACTCTTTACGTTTACAATACTCATCCATAGACTTTACACTGTAACTGTAGGGCCGATGGTTGAAATTAGAAAATGACCCGATATTATAAATGTGAAAATATGTGAGTTTATGCGTTAGTGTGTATGTTTGCTACATTAAAACGACTGAAGGGACCGGAATGAAATTCGGAACAGAGGTAGATTATTCAAACCATAATCTAAAACATGGTCATTTCAACCCTGGCATCGCGGGCGAAGCTAGTAAATAGAACTTGAATTTTAAACACGAGGGTTTCCAGGAAATATTTATTAACCCTGGTTCCAACGGGTCCCGAACTTAAGGCGACCAACTTTCTGAAAGTCCAATGCGGGACTTTTTGTATTTAGATAAAGTTTAGTCGGTAAACCTACAATTACGTAAATATATAACACTTAGGTACAAAAGTTATTTAACTATTTTTTAAATCGTATTTATCTCTAAAGTGACACTTTTTAATAAGTTCCGTATTCTTATTGAGTATGTCATGAAAATCTTCGCAACTTCCCATAATTAAATTTAAGTACAAGCAGAGCTCGTAGTGTTTTCACTTTTAGTAACATTTTTCCGATTTCCATAGATCACTCATTAAAAAATACTCTTTCGCGCCCAAACGTCGCGAGAGATGCTCCCGGGTGGCGTAGGAAATCGCGCGATGATATCCGGTTGCGTTCCAACAGCCAACAGACCACCACAGTTAGGGCCCAGTAAGGCTGATGCCCGATACGGAGCAGCGGAAGGCCTAAGCAGGAGTAGGAACTGGGTGGTTTCTAGTCAGTAAGAGTCTGTTACTGCCTCTCGCCTAGTCCAAGGCGGGAGCAGTCATTGGGTGATATTCCTCTTACAAAAAAAATATATTGTTCTGTGCTGAACTTTTTCTGCTTCTAGCCCTTTAGGACATCATTGTTCACGTAATTACACATAATATAATTTACTTCGTCAAACAAGTTACCTATCTTCATTTATTCGCGCTGTTGTTCGTGCGCGTGTGGTTGTATCGTGTAGTAGAGAAATAGGTACCTATGCGGGACTTGCGGGACGCATCTAACGTTTTACGGGACTATTTTATTAATTATTTCAAAGCGGGATTACATCTAGCATTACGGGACGGTCCCGCAGAATACGGGACGGTTTGCCGCCTTACCTGAACTGACTCGAGTACTATGCGATGAAAAATAAACCGATCTTACAAGTGTTTCGAGACGGCGGGATATTCAAGTACTACTTAGTTACATTTAGGAATTTTTAGATTTTTTTGACTGAATGAATTACCTACTTAGTTGTTTTCATATATTGTCGCTATGCTAAAACCTGAATAAATAATTAAAAAATAGGTACTTACTTACTTATCTTCACGCCTGTCATGATGAGATGCTATGGAACGACAATTGCTACGATTCCTCTTTCGCTACATCAACAGTCATCAATCTTTTCATGCATAGTCGTCATGTCAATTAAAAAATAATGTAGTAGTAGTGCCTAGGAAGTCAAGAATATTTTTTATTTGGGTTTGAATTGTGATGTGAGACAGTGAGACCCCTGCAAGAGCGAAGCCCCGGGCGATCGCCCTGTTTGCTACCCCCTAAAGCTCGGGTGCAGAGTTACATAGGGGCACTGTGAGATGCAACTGCCCACCTGCCCTTAGAGTGGCGGCGGCGCCAACAAAATTAGTAGCGCTTTATAATACGCTTGCCTAGGGCGTTCTCTAGGTGAACCACAATGTGTTTTCTATTGTATCCTTACTAATATTATGAATCGGAAAGTGAGTTTGTTTGTTTGTTCCGCTTTCACGCCGTAACTACTAAACCGATTGCTTTGAATTTTTGCAGATTGCCGGAAGATTTGCCGGAAAAAATTGATATTCCCGAGGGAAAACAAAAGTATTGGTATAGATGGCGCTGTGTGTATTGGTATATGTCACATTGGCTTTTGATCTTTTTGTGACGCGAGTAAAAGCTAGTCTGATATAAGTGGTTAAGCCGCCTCTGGAGTCATTTGTAGGTGGTCCATTAGGAAACGGTAAAACGGGGTGAATACATACAGAAGATAATAAATATGATAATAATGTTCTACATTCTCAATATTAATTCATCTTATTCCTATATCTATTCACCCGTTTTACGGTAGGTATTTTAAGATTTATAGGAGTACTTTTGAAGTATTCACTGATATAAGATCAGAAAAACAAATCATCATCCAACCATCTTTTAGTAGGTACCTAATGTAACCCAGCCTATTTTGCAAACTACAAATTGTATTGTAACTAATGCAACTGAAATGTAGAAGATTTTTGAATGTTATGATCGTATTTTAAAATACTTTCAAATAATCTCAGGCACAAGCTGTTATATAAAATATTATATTTTGTGTGCAATGAATCTTCATGATGATACAACATTCTTGATAAACTTAGCCAAGTGCAGTACAAAGACATGAATACAAAGTAATCTGCGAACTCGGCAGGTTCTTGTAGTACCTACATTTTATGTGACATGCATGAACGCATGTGTTGAAGGATTGTGAAGGAGCTTGGTTAGCTTATAGACATCCAAGTTTCATTGATAGCATTGAATGAACAAATCACCATTTTGTAAGCTATGGCTTGGCACGCCCGAACTTAGTATCAAAACGTAGCACAGGTTCAAAACTCTAGTAAATAATACAAGTGATATGAATTACGAGTATTTTATGATACACAACTTATTCTGTAGCAGTGAAAAAATATGATTTATTGTTAAAATA